GGCCCGCCCTTTCTCGGTGAATATGGTGTGATAAAGCCTGTCAGTTGCTATAACTACCTCATAAAGCCACCTCGTTCGCTGCGCTCACTTGGTGGCTTTATTCGGTGGTTACAGCAACTGACAATGCTTTATCCCACCATATTCACCTCGGGGCGGGTCATTAACCCTTAATCAATCATCTGAGAGCTAAAGTACTTTCTCTCCCAATTACATGTGAAAAAGACTAGAATACCATATATAGTTTTATGTATGCTATTCTAATCAAATATGGACTGTCATTTCCATATTATGGAAGAACTAAGACTTAAGTAATGACTGTCCACGTTTGATTGTAGCCTTCTGCTAGCCACTAAAGGGTTAGAATTTCAGCATATTTATTGCAGTTATATATCAACTTATCTCAGTCATGCCATAACTTACAGTATCATGGAAGTCTTCTACTGTGAAGGCAGGGAATCCAAGGGACACCAGCATATCTTTACTTTTAGCAGCAACCTCTTTGAACCTAAAGAACAAGAGGAAATGTGGCATCAACAACATTCAATGCTCAAGTCCAAATAATGCAGGTATCATCCAATTATATCGGAGCCATCCCTTTATGGACAACACAATTGCTTTTCAGCTACTCACCTTTCCAAATCTTTTCTGTCATCCAGCAACCTCTCTAGATAGGAAAAGCCAAAAGCCCTATAGAAGCAGTTCCCATCCCCTCTTGTTCTTCTGAAGCACTTGTATTTACTTCTCAAGTCCTAGATCGAGATAGGAGAAAACATATCCATGTAGTTGAATAAAGTTATCAACATGATCAGAAATATAGTCAAACTACATATATTTTCAAAGACAAGTCTTTGAAACACTTGATTAACACAATACCCAAACCTTTTGAAGAATGGAGCAAAGCACTCCATAATGGAGTCCATAACTATACTGTCAGTCAAGAGCAAATTCAAAGTTACAGAAATAGTTATAAAATTGGACACCTTGATTTTCCCCTGGTAGACACTGTCCTCCTCAGAGTACTCTTTGGACAACAGGAGAAGATCCTCATGGTCCCCGATCAGTTGGGACGTTTCTGCTATCTGTGGGTGGTAGAAAAATTAGTGGAATATTAATAAAAGTATAATAATTTCCTTAGTAGTACTAGTAGGCTAAATAAAACCTCAATTTCAAAATAATCTTTGTCACACCCTATCTAATTCTTGTAGCAGCAAATTCTGTGAATATAGCTACATGGGTGATAATGAAACTACCCCATTAACATTTCGTATTCAATCAGAGAGAAGAAAGAATATCATTCATACCAGTCTGAACATTACTGACCTCTTGTTGGATCCTGTCCTGCTGTGCCATGATGGCTTCATCATATTCTACACCTACAAACCATACATGGAGAACAGTAAAAAAGATAAAGGAAGAAATAATCAAGTTTAAATGTTTACATATAAATCATAATGCCATAAAACTGGACATCAG